GAAACTGATTAACAGTCCTCTCGAAATCTGCATCTCGTTTATTGCAGTCACAAGGCTATTGAATTTTGTTCCGAAATATAGATCTTGTAGCTTTAGCTGAATCAGGTAGCTACTCAATTGAAAAGAACTACTTGTGATCATAATATTTATCTTAATCCTATTGACAATTTGTCGTGATGGTACGCGAGCCCCATCATTGATTATCAATATGATTCTCCGAAAAAAGACCGCTGTATTGTATGTATGCTTATCCAATATAGAGGTTCCTTTGCTCTCGGTAGAGAATAAATGTGAATTTACATTTTGAGATACAGCAATGAATAAATATAAAACTAGAAGAATATTTACAAACTGAAATTAGGAGATTCACGTCCCTACATTATGAACACAGATTCAGATCCCTGTTTTGCCTTTACCTCCTGGTGTCTGGGCACCCACAACAAAGTAACTCTGTTATCACCAAGGCACTCTATGGATTCATAGTAGGTGAATGCATATATATGAAGTATTCAATACCAATCAAAATTCATTATGGTCCGAAATCGAAACCCAGATCAGATGCCATATGATTAAATTGTATGTGAGACTGCTGAGGCTATATATAATTGCTTACATGCACACGGTGTTATCATAATTATTATTATACATCGAATTATTGATAATTATAATCGAGGGGTGGCTCACTTGCCTAAATTTTGTACACCATATTACCAAATCAGGTAATATCAGTAATATTTAGGGGATATTACCATAATACCAATAATATTCAAGATATTACTAAATATTACTGATTATGTGAAATATTACAAAATATTACCAAATATTACCGAATAAGACCAAATTCCACAAAATATTATCAAATATTACCAAATATTACCAAATATTACCAAATATTACCAAATATTACCAAATATTACCAAATATTACCAAATATTACCAAATATTACCTAATATTACCAAATATTACCAGATATTACAAGATATCACGAAATACCACCAATATTACCTTCCAAATAATGATGGGTACCTGATGAATGACATTAATTACCTCGTTAATTACTAATGTATACAGGTAACCTCACTCACCACTATCATCAATTTAAACTATTATCAGCAGAAATGTCTATATATTTCGACAACTATACTGATAAACGAAATAAACTTCAAATACTTCCATAATTTTTTTTTCGAGCATGATGGTTCATGGTCCGAGAAAGAATTTCGAAAAATGATCACGATATAGAACAAGGTCGAAAAAAAACAAAATTGCTCAAACGGAATCATAACGACACCGCTGCAATTTTACACTACTTCAATTATCATCTTGTTCACCAGAAATTTGTGTGTATAGTGTCATATTGCTCTGGAGAGTAACTGAAAGATGGGGCTAACCAAGTGTGAGAACCGAATAGAAATTCATAATTGGATCTATGAGTAAATCGATTTAATATTCGACCTCAGTTTAATTGTCGAAATATGTCTAGATATTCCTACTGATAATAGTTGAATTAATGATAGTGATAAGGGAGGATACCTGTATGAACTAGTAATAATTAATGTGGTTTATCAGGTTCCTAAACATTATTTGGAAGGTGATATTGGTAATATTTTGTAACATTCCCGAATATTTCGTAATATTTGGTAATATTTGGTAATATTCGGAAATATTTGGTAATATTTGGTAATATTTGGTAATATTTGGTAATATTTGGTAATATTTGGTAATATTTAGTAATAATTGGTAGTATTCAGTAATATTCGGTAATATTCGGTAGTATTCAGTAATATTCGGTAATATTTGGTAATATTTGATAATATTTGGCAATAATTGGTAATATTTGGGAATATTTGGGAATATTCGGTAATATTCGGTAGTATTTGGTAATATTTGGCATAACTTGGAACTATTTGGTGATATTTTGAAAAATCAGTAATATTCAGTAATATCTTGAGTATTATTGGTATTATTAGATATTACCTAGTTTATAGTAATATCCCGTGAGTTCAGATGAGTTGCTATGTTTTAGTATAGATCTAGAAAGTGTTCCATTTTAGCTGACAGAGACATATTTCGAATAATACTCAGTATTGCATGGTATTGCCAACATAAAAATGAATAGTTATTTTCTCCACATGACATGGAATATGGCTTTTTAATGTCACTTAACAGGCATAGAAGGTGCACTTTAACTGCCTGGGTAGCTTTAAATCTTGTGATTTTCTCCCATGTAAAGCAAATAACTATTTAGGTCTACTCAATTTGGCAAATTAGTTGCTGAAATATAGTTAGACATTCCTCAATACCTTTGTGGTTGTTTGGGTGTTCCTAGTCGCCGATTACTCAACCATTAGTCTTCAAACACTGAGTTCGAGTTCATGCAAATACATACTGAACCATCAATAAATTAGAATAAAGAAATGGTATTTTGATACTCATTCTATTCATAGAGATCAGGTAGGCATAGATCGAGGTATAGATACTCACGATGGAAAATAACATGTTGCTGCACCTGACAAACAGCTTTCAAATATCTCCCTAGGTGGCGAAGGCTTATTTTTCATTGCGACATCTGGTATAATTGACTCATAGAACATTAGAACGTATAATACTCATTTTCATAATATTACTAGAAATACTACCAATGTATTACTTGATGCGTTACTAATATTACTTGGAATATCACCAATAATACTATATTACTATCAAATAATACCAATATTACCATATTATTGACAGATATTACTAATATTACCATATTATTGGAAGATATTACTTATATTACTATATTACAAGCAGATATTACCAATATTCCAATATTACTAGCTGATATTACCAATAATACCTGTCATATGAAATATTACCAAATATTACTTGATAATACAAGTAATACCGGTAATACTAGAAGTATAATACTGTACTGGTAATATATTACTGGCGCGATGTACACCATATTACCATAGTGAGCCACCCCTCGATTATAATGATACATAATGGGATACAACTTCTACCTGTTCATCATCATCTGTATTACCATGAACTATGACCTCAACGGGCGTTAAATACGTTCATTGATCATCGTAATTAATTACAGTTTCTCTATGGATTACAGAATGTATACAAGGCGGCATATACCGATAACCATAAAAATGGAATATGAATGATTAAGTTTCGAGAAAGTTTGACACGAAACCGAAAGTAGCGAATACCACTTTCAAAAAATCGAACTGGTGCAGTAGGCTGTGACGAAAAATGCAACGTATGTAGATATACGATTCCTCAATTAATATCCGAGGTAATATCCATGTGTGTACTCGGACCGTGACTGATAAAATGAATAGTCGTTATTATATATGGAGAAAATCAGAGAGATTAATACGTATAATATGGGATATTTTGTTCCCACAAGAAAAAGGAATCGAGCGAGATCATGCTCGAATAGAGCTCGATTTGAAACATAAGAAGGTAGCGGATATCCTCAGTCAGATCTGGTGATTGTACGTCAATCCCTCATTTTGCTTTTTTTCCACGAGAGAATGGATAGGAAAATTGTACGCGTGTTATCTTCGGTATTATGGGTCAATTGCGCATGGATTAAACTTGTTGATACGAAGACTACTTTTTCTAAACAATCCAACCTCACTCGGCCTAAATGAACCTCCTTCATTGAAAGTATATTTCTGAACAGCGATCCATCGATCGAAGGGGACCACTTGTTCTGAGCAATCTAACCTTACTCGACCCTTAGAGTATTTTTCGGGTAATCCTCGGGGTAATCACTTCAGAACAAAACGAAAAAAAAAGACGATCCTCGCATGGATGATACTCGATCTTGTCTGCGCCTTGACCTATAGCCAATGATAATGCCTAACCAGCGAAAGGGTCCGATAAGGAGTTCGGAAATTCTTATCAATCCAATGAATCTCTCAATCTATTAAAATTTAGGCGAATTGGTCTGAACCGAATGTTGATACCCTGGTTGGTACTCTATCGACTTTCTAAGATTGGCCGGTTGTAACTTAAGTGGATCGTAGCATCAGAACGAATCACTTGTCGATGTTGTATTTTTATAAACGGTCATCTTTGTACAAGGCGTCCTGAGTGAATTAAAATGTGTTGGAGTGTTAAAATTTTGTCTATCTACGATGCCTCCATTTTAGAATTGTATACTATAAATAATTTGACAGTATCTAAAGTAAATATTGAATCGTGCTATTTATTCTAGTCCTCTTTTAGAGACCATATTCATGGGGTCGAATGCTGGGGTTGTCCATCTCTTTTAACAGGATTTGAGAAGTTGTATCAAATCAATTATGTCCATCTGATATGGAAATGCCGAGCACGAGAGATTATTTAAAGCATAACATTCGAGATGATATCGCTTTCCATCTCTTGCTCAGACTTTATGATTACGCTTCGGTAGTTTTGGCCTATATGGAAGCACATATTAAGGTTTCCAGTTTCCATTGTGTTCCAGCTGTTGGCCATCAATTCTTGCATCTATACTGAGTTATCGACATGTTCATGTCGATGTCACTTTCTTACAGATCAATCTTGAATGTTTATAAAATTTGTGAGAAATTAATTGAAAAGGACCACATCCTTCATTCAGGATGGAACTCGGGAAACATCTGTGTTTGTGACATAACGGGTTATATTCATCGATTAGAGGACTATAGTTCTCAATTACTAACCTTCTGAATGTTAATCGCTGAACTATTTTCTCGACTATTTTCGACTATTTTTATCGTCCATTGTGTATTTGCAGTGATTGAAATTCGTCTCTTTGGAATATTATCAGGATACATCATCATATTCGTAGGATACTCAGAATACTCGGAAGTCAAGCCTATTACTATCAGATTCCATGTCAACTGCGGACGAGACTGAATAAGACAATGAGCAGCTAGAATACGTATTGAAACGATAACTTTTGTGTTTCTCATGTTTCTAGCATCCATTGATAAAATGTTATCATTTTTAGTTATAATAGTTGACTCACCTGTAGATATTTTCCTAAATTCTTCCTTCCTACGGGCGTCCTCGAAGCTATCCCCTGAGAAGAATGCAAATAACTCCCCAACGGCTTCTGGCTATAACTATCACAATCTTCACATTTTTCACTGTCACAAATATCCGAATTGTTCGATTCAACATTCGCGTCACCGTTTTCCTTGTTACCCGCGTCCGAATGATACAAGAATTTCTTCACCCCATTCGTCCCTTTACTGTTACCGTTGGTCAACAGATTGGTGAGGAACTCGCTCCGACTAGAGGAGTTGTAAAGATACGAATTGTTCCTGCTCACACTCAAGTTGCTCGCGTTTATCACCAGCTCAGTATCAGGCAGATTGGACAACATCTTCTGCACATTAGAAGAAATGATCTCCAAGCTCTCACTGCTCTTGTTCAGCGTTTTCTCGGGAGATCTGAACGACCTGTACGTCGGTTTACTGGTGAACCTTCTCGGCCCCAAGGTCTCTTCCGAGCTGAACTTTTTGCTGATCTCTTGGTCTGGCACGTGGGAGAGGATTTTCTGGACGCAAGGTGACAGGTTGGCAAAATTGCTGACTTGGTGGCTTCTCTTCGGGGTGCTAGTCTTCAGCTCTACGTTGGCGAATTGGTCTGTCGTCTGGTGTCCTATTATGGCGTCAAATGCGCCCATAATACTTGGCATCAACTCTGGCGATGAGCCTGTAACAAAGAATGACAACTTATTCCGATTATCCGATCGTTATTTAGGTCCGATCAAAGACTTAATGAGGCGGTATTTCATAATGGAAAATAATGTAGTCTACCGATATGGCAAGGCTGAAGGTTGTTGAGTGGGGACTGTTTTCAACCTTGTGTACGCGCAGTGCATGGCTCAATGCTTCTCATCATTAAAACGGTTTTGTTTCAGAAAATCTAATACGTTAAGTTACTCACATGTTTAGATGATTGTACCAAGATATGTGGTTTTCTTTCTATAGAAAACTAAGCGCAATAACAGAGGTATGACAAATAATGGCGGATAGGTTGTTTCGAAGCGATAACAGGATGGAGACTGTTTCACGGTTTTATCTCGAAACAATCGTGTGCTTGTGCAGTCATGGCAATCTAGATTACGAAAGGTGCAAATAATGAAACAATATAGATACATCGATAATTTCAAGAGTAGATACGGTGATAAAATCATTTAAAAAAACGGCAAACGAGTATTTGGTGATGACTGTACGAACGTAATCCTCACTAATTATGAATTAGCGAATCAAATGATTTTTTAATTGAACCAATCAAGCTGTGTGACATGCACTCGTTGAACATCAGGCATGGAACGACCACAGATGGTTCTCTCAATCCGATAAGTAAAAAATCGGAATGCATTTGCTGTTACGTAATTAATTGGTGTCCAAATTGGTTCTCATTCAAGGAGAGACGCACCGTCCAATATTATCGATATGTTCTTTCTTCATCATCATCTTTGGTCACTTCAGGTTTTTTAGGATTGATATTACATGATTATGGAGTCGAGTTGCATTTTGGAGAACAGAATAATTTAGTTCAACAAAAGACTCGTTTTTTCATTTCGAAAGTAAATTCGTGATGTTAAACCAAATGAGGAGAATCAAAATGTTTTGGAGATGACGAAGAAAACCTTCTATAATCACACCATTATCGAGAGCGAAGAGAAAAAAATCCGCTTGAACTAAACATATAGGTAAAACTATGATTCCCTTTCATAGAAAAATGAACTTTCTTGGTGACATATAATCTTGGGTGGTCATTGGCTCCATATTGGCAAATACAAAATATTGGGTCAACATGGAGCCAATATCCTGCGATATTAGTATAATTCCTCACTTCGAAAGCAGCCACGATATTCGCAAGTGTCTAGAAGTCTAAGAACTGAACTTCTGTTTATAACAGAAGACGATAGCAAATTCTCGTTTTCACCAGTGGATTTTTCTACTAAACTTTACCGATCCATCCTATAAGTATATCGAAATTTGACCACCCTGTTCGTCATTTTGAAATTGTGAAAACGGCTGACTCAATTTCAGATACATTCAGTTCCCTCAAAAGAATCTAGTACAGTTAGATAGTTCCAGTCAGTATAATTATGTTCTCCCAAATCGAGAATGGAAACAAGATAATCAAAGGTTTTGATGAACGGTCTAGATTTTGAATAACGAGAATACTGAGGAAGATTATTGGAAATCTTTGAATGGCCCCGAGCTCAAAGACGATACCGGCCAATTCATTCCTAGTTCTAGATAACGATCAGCTCCTACCCCAATCATTAGTCATTTCCATATTAATTCCCGATTTAATGTGTGACCATTCAATCATCTTCACATTATCCAACAAAATCGTCTATTAAGCTTTAAACTCAATTAACTCGTTCTATTTCCAACGCCCTTGCACCTTCAATTCATCAAAAATCGAATACATAATGAAATTTTCGACACTTCAAAATCCAATTAATTTCTCCCTAGTCGCTTCACTCGAATATTCTGTATTCCTGATACACACATTGCTCTACCAGTATTTCTTAATCCTAATAAGTATGAATGAGGTCGAGTAAAAATTGTTCTCCGCCTACCAGCTAATAGCATTTGATGAGAAGTAATGATAGAGACACTAAATGAACTAGCTCAGAGAGACACGAGAACTTGCAGCTTGCTTTATAGGAATTTCATTTGGAAGAGATCACACCGTTTCAATTCATTCACTTGAATTCATTCACGATATGGGCCTCGGCATCGGCTATTCATTCAAACTGCAGTAGGAGACAGCATGCAATACATGAAGGGAAATTCTATATCTGTCGTATGATTTATGTTGACCTTTGCGGTTAATGTTTCCTGCAAGGGTCAATGTGAATTATGGCTAATAATAAAACTAGTTCCAGTCGAATGGACTATGAATAAAATGTCTCTAGTAATGAAGTCATTGTCGTAGATTCATTCGTTCAATGCACTGTGAAATTATTCACAAAATTTCAAAGTCAGACTTTGCAACACCAATAACGTTCTAATGTGTGAAAGGTTGGTTCTTCTGAAAAACCTCAGAGACTTCCACAGAAACCACATGACATTTTTCATCAACACAGTCAACTGGACTTTATTTTACCAGTATTCCACCTGAAAAAGCCTCTGTGTAAGCGAAATATGTCGTGGGATTGAGAATTCTGATGAAATCTGATCGTTTTTGAAGTTTTCTACAATTACTATGGATTTCCATCAGTTAACGGCAGATTCTCCATTAATATTTGATGATCTGGTATTCAATCTATCAGAATATATTTATTTCCATTTCAATTTAGTGCGGAATAATCTAAAACAAGGTCGCCATCATCATTATATCTGAATGCCATGTAACTAACTATCCGTAACTATCAGAGAGCTGAGCCAGGGAACATTGATCGAGCTTGACGATCGAGAAATGCAGTTATTCTTCTATAGATTCCGCAATGTTAGGAAATGAATCAGCAGACAAACTCCCTAGAAGACCAACCTAAACACTATTTTATTCGTATCACTTGAACCTTTCAGTAGATTCAGCAGTATACCATTATGCTGAAAAAGGTCATAGGCTAAGGCCAAACTCCGTGTACTAACGCAAAACCTTGAGGAGGCTCGGCTTGAGAAAGAAGAAGAATGTAGGTTCTGTGTCCGAAAGGGTGAAACTACTTCATTTAATTCACTCATGAAGATAAAATTGAAGGGAAGGACTGAAGCCCCTGAAGCCGCCGCGAAAAATGTAAGAGAAGGGAACATATTTCAGATCGAATATCTACTTCTTATGCTGATACATATTGTTTGCATTCTCAACTGATATAGATCACAGAACTCAAAGACCTGAGTTCTGTGATATAGATACACTATCAATTCAGATAAAACGTCGTTGAGAGCTTCTCACTCGTTATTACTTTATCTTTTATGAAGATACGTTTTCATTTCCATTAACTACATCACCTCCACACACTGAATATTCATCATTTCAGATGAAATATTCATTGATATTCTGTTTCCATTACTCACTAACACTTCGTCTTTACGACTTTACAAGTATCACTACCAGCTCAAGGACACTTTCCAACTCTTAAATACATGGTCGACGATGTTAATAATAAACATTTAGCAACTAGTCTTTATTTATACTGAATCACAGATAACAGATTCAACAGTGTTATCATGTAATAAACTAGTATAGGTATGTTATCATCACCCCGCATATAATTATGGAGTATAACTACGCAACTACATACAGGTAAACGTTGAAGAAAGAAGAGCTGTTTCAAACATACTTGAGGCACTCCTCTAACAACCAATTAGGTACATGAAAACTATCAATAATAATAGTAATATGAAGACGTGCAATTTATATTTCTTGGTTCCACAACATCTTTTTATTTAGATCCTACTTGGATGAGTATTCCCATTCAAATGTTGTCTAGTTGAAACCCCAGAGAAGTTTGCCTCAAGTGTTAACACAATAATATCAAGGGTTGGCACCCTATAAAAACATTGATTACAAAAAAATCCAGACGATTTATGGGTTGCTAGCTCCTTCAAATAAATAACATTATTTACAATCAGACATACCTCGTTTGCTATTGTTTGTTAAAGGTCTGTAATCTTTTCTTGAGACGACAGTGAGATAAAAGTCATTCGATTACAAGTTTGTCAACAGTGAAGACATTTATTTTCGAACTGCAATAGATGGGCTCAACATGTGGCCACCAATAATAGATAAATTCGATGACCATAATAAATTTTGAGAACCGTATCCTTCAGCACTTAGAGAAGCCCTTGTCGATAAATAGATCGGTAAAAATGGGTATTCAGATGTTGGTAGGTATACGAAAGGAGTATGAAGACTATTCGTGCCAATAAAGTTCAACATCGGGCTTTACCTCGGGCTTTACGATAGTGTGATATGTAGATGTTTTAGTTTCTTGCCAATTCATGACTTTCAAGTTTACACTAACATATCATAGAAAGGTTCACTTACCTGATTTCAAGATTGAACAAGCTAGACGAGGATTATGCATCCAACCATTTTAGATGTGTCTATGATTTCCTTCATTATCGAATTTTTCAGGGATTATGATATTTTGGGCAATAATAGTTTGAGATCCGTTGGTACGTCATGGCTTTCAAAATAGACAGTTGAGGTACTTAGCCCCCCAAGTATATGTTAACGTAAAAATAACTATTTTTTGTGGATTCATGAATTGTGGAGACCAAAATCACTTCTCAACATCATTATGATCTTTGATCAAAAGACATTTCACATTTAATTCTTAATTAATATCAGATATGTATAAACACCCTCATGATTATCAATTGTTGATTGCTAAATCCTAATTGTTAATTTAATTGAATCTATAATTCCAGCATTATATTTTAATTAAGCCGACCACTGACATCGATAAAACTCCTAGGCTAGGGGGTTCTTGCGCGTTGAGCAGAAGCATTTTCAGGCGAGCAACTGATCCCTTCATTTTCGGGTTGCTGCGATATAAATACTAGCAATCTAGATAGATGCACGCTCCAGGACTGTGTAAAGGCGATCGAAGCAACGATTTTTGTTAAAAATGCAGTTTTACTCGACGACATCAAACCCGAGCGTTCATCATTACCTGAAATGAAAAATGTGTAGTGCCTACATAATAATGTGGACAAATTTTGGTGGCTTCCGAAATG